GAGTAAGTTGTCGTTCTTCATTTCTCTCCAAGGTGCCCAATAGCCTAGCCTGCCTCCGCTGTCTTCTGGTTTTCCGGCACCTTGTTTTGGCTGGAGGGGTATTCTCCCCCTCCAAAAAGGGCAACTCTAACAGGCTATTTGGTTCAGTTGTCTCATCTATCTCCCTTTTCTCAGGGTCCTGTGTTTGGCTCTGGGATCGAGTAATGACCATATTCACTGGTCTGCTGGACTGCACTAACTCTGGTAGCACAATAATGTCCTGGCCTATTACAACAGGATGGCTCAGCCTCTCCACTACACCAACCATCATCTGGTATGTCTGTCCTCTAATATATAGGTGTACTTCGGCTGTCGGATACTCATGTGCATCCCCATTGACACACAGAACCTTCAGCTTCCTACCCTGCACAAAGTCCCTATTCTCCACTAAGTGGGGCTGCACAAGTGTTTGGGTACTTCCTGTGTCTAGTAGGGCAGTAGCATCTTTACCATTCACTTGAACCGGCATCGTCTGTAGCCTTCCCCTTACGTCCTCTTCTGGACGAGGAATACAGCTGTGGCTGGAGTGCTTTGGCTTCCTATTCGGACATTCAGGCTTTATATGTCCTTCTTGACCACAAAAATAGCATACCACCGGAGCTCCGGTTCTTGGATCTAGGCTATCTCTGGGCTTAGTTGGAACAAAATAGTTACGGGCAGGCATTCGACTGGGCTCACTAACTTTTGCACCACTCCCCGGACCAAAGCCCTCAGACCTCCCACGGGCTACCGATCTTGTCTGTGACTCCAGACGGAAGTGTTTGTGGGTCTGTCGGGCCGCCATGAAGTTCTCCACCAGTTCAGCCGCCTTCTGACCATTTTGGGGATTGTGCTCCTTCACCCACACTCGAATGTCTGGTGTCAGAGTGAGGAGGTACTGTTCCATTATAAGTATCTCAGCGATCTCTTCGACCGACTTATTTGCCGGCCTAATCCACTTTTGAAATAAATCCTTGAGGCGGGTGTACAGCTCACGAGGGGTCTCTCCCGGTCTGACATCCGGTTCACGGAACCTCCTCCGGTACACCTCCTCGTTGATTTCATACTTGTACAGTATTGCCTCCTTCACCCTGTCGTACTCCATCGATTGGTCCATACCCATGGCCACATAGGCGCTACGGGCCTTCCCAGTGAGGTATGGCACCAGAACCACTGCCCAGTCCTCTCTAGGCCAGCGGTAAGCTGTGGCCAGCCTCTCAAACGTAGTGAGGTACTGTTCAATGTCGTCCCCTTCCTCGTACCTTGGAATGGCTGATCTGGCCCAGGCCGCTGGAGCCGGTGCTGGTGCTGCCGGCTGAGCTGGCACTCCTGGTTGAGGCCCCGGTGGAGCTGTAGGTGGGGACCTCCTTTCTGTCTCCACGTCATCCCTCAACTGGTTCAGCTGCATCTGCACACTCCTCCAGCGCTGCTCCTGCTTGTATGCTTCCCTCTCATGTGTCTGCAGAGTCTTCTCAAGGAGCTGACGTAGGGTGGCTAGATCAGTACCCTCTGTCTGCTGGTCTCCGCCCAATGCTTGGGCCCCAGCCTCGCCATCTGGGCATTCATCGGTATCTTCAACCTCCTTCGGGTCACCTTTGGCTTTCCGCCTGCATGCCATTCTCTCCCTGGACTGGCACCGTTTTCCTCCTCTATTAGCCAGTGTCGGTCAGCGTACCATCCCACCGCTGCCACCAAATGTGGAGTACCGAGGGCACCCCAAATACTGGGATGTGTAGGCTCACTGACTTTAGGTGGTGGAGGTGGAAAAGACGGTTACCACAACTCAATTGGTTCCAGAAAACAGAATAAAGTTTATTTAGATTTTAACTCAGAAGTCAATAAAACAAAAAAAAATCAAAAATCAAAACAGCATAATGCCTCTGGCTTTCACCAATATTACAGCCAACACTTTGTACATAGCCTCACAACAAGCTAGTACTCCTCTCTCTTCCCAAAGGCAAAATGAGGCTCTCTTAAATAGGCCAAAGCATTAAGCCAAATTGGACCATACCAACAATCAGGGTATAACATTAAGCTTAAGGCCACAAATAAGCTCTAATCTAAATAGTAAATAAACATTACATGTAAATAAAATAATAATCATCATATCACCATCATTTTATACCACATTGATACCATCTACTCACACCACCGACATACATACAAAACATTATTACAAACAAACACCCCTGTGAACAATGCTCTGCACCCTCTGTCCCATGACACGGATAAATACTGCCCCTACAGCGGCGCGCGCATCCGCATAGGAATCAGTTGAACCGGACCGGGATGCAGGAAATGCGTGAGTCACAATATGTATGAATTTACTAGGATTTTAGACAGAAACATTGAGTAAATGGGACATGAACTAGTGGGTACCGCACTATATGTCATGTAGATGGTAAAATAGGAAATTATAAGCAGTGACAAATTAGGTTTGAGTTTTATGAATGAAATTGCGGACTACCCGCGTTACAAACACACCAACTCGAATGAGTTAACGGCGCCTAGCCTCGCGCCAGCCTTCTCTTTACACACACCCCTCCCGACCGGGTTCACTAGCGATCCTTACACCTTCACAAAATAATATAATTAGCCCGGCATCATTTTTATCTAGGAGCATGTGTGTGTGTGCAAATGTGTATGCAAATGTCCAGAGTCTCTCCCGCTCTCGCGTATAATCCTTCAGTCAATGCGGGAGCGCGCAACAGTGAGAAGTGAGGTTCACTTTCTCACAATATATATATATGAAGAGCTCTTTTCCAAAACGCTATAAATCCATTTCAATAGTTTTCAGGAAAACTACATTTTTTACCTAGACCTACACATTTTGTGAATATTCAAATTATCCTGTTTAAATGTTTTATTGGTTCAGTCTGAACATTTTGAACAATAATTATTAAATCAAACAACAATATTGTTAATGATAATTTAAAAGTTAATTTTATTTTTTTTCCAAAACGCTATAAATCCATCCATTTTTTGTATCATTATTAGTAAAGTCATTTTTAGTAAAGAGTCAAACCTCAAACAAATAGTACCAATTTCAACATATGCAAGAAAAAAACGAATTATTAATACCAATTTCAACATATGCATGAAAAAACGAATTATTAAAAATGATCAATATATGATAACGATATTCAAAAAAGGGATGGGCACCCCTCCAGCACATGCACACACACACAGGCTACATAACATGTGAGCAAAGCGGAGCAGCATGACGCTTAAATACAAGTAAAAAAAAACAACAAAAAAACAAAATAAACATTTCACATTTGTTTTAATAATATTACATTACTTATTTTTATTATTTCCTCTATGTTGAGTAGGCTATGAAAAGGGAACCGCATGAGATGAGTAAGATAGGATCAAAATTCAAAAGCTGCCCAATATCGGAAAATATTTGGAGTGCGTCAGACATGATTTTGACCACTTATTAAGTTTTGTTTTGTAGAAAGCTTGTAAATTTCGTTTCATATAAATTGTATCTTCATTTTAATAAATGTTTCATCGACAAATTGACTGGATTAATACATTAGAAATAAATATCAGACAATATAATCAGGACACAGAGGCGCGCAGGTGAACCGGAGCGCGTCTCATAATATGAACCGAAACACCGCGATGCTTGCCTCACACAGGCCTGAGAACTAAGCTACAGAAAGCTTTAAATATCTACTTTTAAACAAAATAATTAAAAACTAAAATAAATTGGCAACTCTCTGCTTATGTAGGCTAATTCGAAGTATGCGTTTCTCTATGCGCGTTCACTGCGAAGATGGCGAGTAAGCATCATCAACTTTATCTTTGCTGCTGACACTGACAGAAAACACTAGTTTATTAATAAACAATTCAAATGTTTCATGCATAATCATTACTTTTGCCGGTTCTTTGTGGCAAGCTTTATGCATAGGCTACGTTGAGATGCGGAATATGCAATTAAAAACGCTCATATGGTTTCTCTCCCATTTAATTAAATCAATATATGTGATTACTGATAATACAAATGGCTTAAATGATCTACTACTAGTCGACTAGAAAACTAGGACTCATTTTGAGGAATGAATGAACATAATAAACCTCTGTTCAGAGTGCCGCCGTGCTGGATTGTGTAGAGCGCTCATTGAATTTGAGGATTTATCGTGTTTAGGCTAAAAACAGGGCTGGCGCTTATCGCGGCTTGGAAAGAAACTGTATCTTGCAGTACATTTTAAACAAGGAAATATAGCGATTCGGCATGAAACGTTGATGGAGCAGTGAAAGGGTTCTGTCCACAGCAGAATGACACGACAAACTCATTTTTTTTAAAATGTCGTTTAACGCGTTTTGGAAAAGAGCTCTTCATATATATATATATATACCTGTATATATATATAGACACCTTTTGTTATCGAATAGTCTGGCTGATGATTAGATTAGTTTCTATGCATTCAAATCACCATGGTTCTGGGAGCCCCTGGCTCAGTTTGAATAGTTATGCTGATTGGATTAGGCACTCTCAGTCAAGGCCAGGTTTCTAAACCTCTATACTTCATTTACATGCTTTGTTTCAGAGTGTCTCCACCTCAATGTAACCCCTCCCCCCTTGTAAGGTATATGAACAGTCTCTATTTTAGTTAAGTCAGACAAGGCTAAGACTTTTGGACGAAGCAGACTACAGCAATGCAACATCAATAAAGAAACCTGCATAAAATATACACCGAGTCTCCTAGTCTTTGCTTCTGAGTTTCCTACACTTTAGAAGAAATAAGTTCACAACAGCTGGGTCCATATGCTGTGATCCCAACGGCGATGCTTTATGCTTAATTCCCCTTTATGCTTCCACTCCTCCGTGAGAGATGCGAGACCGGTTTGCTCACAAGCGTTGCTCATTAGCAATGGCACCACAATCCTCGCACCATTCTCTCACATCTTCGCCACAATGATATTTCTAGTACAAAAGTGTGGTATTTATCTCTTGAGGGTACAATGTAACTCACCACTAGACTTCCCACAGCAGAGTAGGCTGCATAGGCAAAGGGTTCAGTCGTGGATGTTGATGGCTGTCCACACCTCACTCCGCTGGGCAGATAACAATGGTTTCCAAACTTCTCCACGATTGTGCTGAGGACGGGTCCGGGATAGCTCAGAAGAGCCGTATGATTAGTAACCCGAACGTCTTTTAATCCAAGCTCCGTCCACTGCTGAGCGATGTACTTGACCTTGGACTCTTCTGTGAGATCGGACAAGCTGTCAAAGTCCCTGTGTCGAAGCAGACACAACAGGAAACGAACATCAATACATGCATGTAGTATTTTTGCAAAGGCACGCCTTCACAACTCAACAAGGCGACACTTAAAGCGTTGATGAATATGTGCAAGACTCATTATCATTAGCGTAATTAGCACATTGTTGACTTTAGGTTAACATTTGTTTTCCTCAAAGGTATTTACATGGTCTATTGACATGAAGCTGCAGCTAGAAATGTGGGCCAGAACTGGAGAGAGGGCCTCCATAATTCATATTCCGGACAAGCTTCAGTTAATGTAACTGATGAATATGGCGGTGCAGAGAATCAATTGTCTCCTGAACAAACGGATGCACTATTAAAAAAAGATTGCCTGGAGAGAAAGTAAATTAGCAACAGACGGTTAAACATGAGAGTGAGAAATGAAGCGCTGCTAAGGTGCTCTGGCAGCTCGGCTTCGCTTATTTCTTACCCGTCACGGCACGTGGAAGGCACAAAGAGGAATACATTGTTATCTTGTAACTTGAAAACTTTGAGAGCTCTCAAGCCCATCAGCATGCCAAAGCTCACTCAGTGATTTTATGGGAGAAACACAGCAGGCCTGCCCATTCTCGCAATCTTCAAAACAAAATTAATTGAAGTGTAAAAGTAAGCCAAGAGCCTCCGGAGACTATAAATCATTTAACTGCATTTTTCCCCTTTATACTCTATGATGAATTTGCAGACATTGATCACAACAATATCCGTAACCCAAACAAAAAACTGGGACAGATTATTCCTCTTCTATGCAAAAAAAAAATAAAAATAAAATTCCCTCATTATACTACTTTTTCAGGTGAAAGAGGTTAAATCTTTTACAACAGTTCTGATTTTGACAGCATAAAAAGAAAAACAAGAACACCCTGGTATATTTGTACTTCCTAATATGAAGAATACACACTAAATCAACAGTGTCTGGTATGCTTCATGCTGAGAGATGTTTTATGTGCACAACAAATATTTTGTATTTAAATCTAATCTGTGTTGTTTACTTGCAAAATGCACTGTGTAAAAAGGAGGTATTCATTGAACCTACAAAAAAAAAAAAAAATGAGATGGGAGGAAAAATAAGTCAATGCTTTTGTATTCTCTCTCAAATGTTATGTGTTCTCCTGAGAAACTCCCCCCAAAAAAGTTTCTACGGGGAACATTTAGAAAAACAGTTTCTCAGAAGAACACATAACATTTGTGAGATATGGAAGCCCGTTTCTGCCACAGTTGAGTAAAAACAATATAATTCTGTAAGTCATAATAATGAGAAACTTTCTGATTATTATGACTTAGTTTCACATTATATTGAGGAAGTTTCTCATAATAATGACTTAGTATCTCATAATAATGAGAAACTTTCTCGTAATAATGACTTAACATCTCATAATAAAGAGAAATGTATACATAAGGAAAACAAAGATGTGATTTTGCCTAATTCTACCAGACATTTAACATTGTCATCTACAAGCCACATATAAGATAGTTATTGTCTGGACATTTCTATATAAATTCTAAACAATGTTCTTTCATATGGACGGAGTAGACAGAAAAGATTTCAATTCCCTATCCCTGTTCAAAAACGGTGTGCCACCGTTACAGAAAAAAAAAAAAAAAAGAAAGTTGTTTGAGTTTCCTTCTAGCTTTTCAAGCAAATCCAGCGATTCAAGAGAGCGGACAAGCAGTCCAGCCCAGCATTGAGGCAAAATGACCTGCCAGAGTGTGTCCAATCCCTCACGGCTGTGCATGGGTGCCTGGGTAATCTAATTAAAAGCGTGCTCTGCATGAGTGGAGAGGATGATTCCTAACCTCTCTCAGGTAATGCTTCTCCAACCTCCACCCCCACTACAGCTGGCACAAGACTTAAATAGTAACCCAGTGCATTACTTATGGAGGAACTGTTTCTTCAAATGATTGTGTGACCAATTTTAGAGCGACCAGTTTGAAACGAATTACAAAGAAATGTCACTTCGTGGTGAACTAGAATGGGTCTATGCCTACAGTCTCGGATTTGGTTCTAAATAAAAAGTGATCAGTATGGAATAACTTCTATCATAACATTTTTGAAATACCAAACAATAAAATGATCTGCTAACTAATGCAAAAGTGAAAACAGAGCATTATTTTTATTAATTAAATAAAGGCCAGGTTTCACAGACAGGCAGATTAATCCAGAATTAGGCCTTAGTTCAATTTTATAAAAGTGCCTTAGAAAAAAAAAAAAAAAAAAAAAAAAAAAAAAAGGTTTGGTGTGAATTTTGAGGCAAATGGAACAATGGAACATTTTAAGATATGTCAGTACAAGTTGCTTTCAATTAAAACAGCTCAAAGATGCATTTTAGTCTGTGACTAGGATTATGCCTTAAAGGGTTAGTTCACCCAAAAATGAAAATTCTGTCAGTATTTACTCACCCTCATGTTGTTCCAACCCCGTAAGACCTTCGTTCATCTTCGGAACACAAATTAAGATATTTAAGATATTAAGATCGCTCCTGCATACAGTCCATAGGCTTCTTGAGGGACTGGCTCTTGCTGTCCCCGAAAAGTCATTAAAGACATCGTTAAAATAGTCCAAGTGACTACAGTGGCTCAATCTTAAGTTTATCAAACGACGAGAACACTTTTGTGCGCAAAAAAACAACAAAAATAACGACTTTATTTCAACTATTCGTTTATTTCTCCCTCTGCGCGAGTCAGGTTAGTTTAATAGCGTAAGCTTCTGTTATTGTACGTCACACGCATCACACACATGACCAGCGTCGGCCAATAGTGAGCCTACGTGTGACGTAGCTCTACGCAATCACACTACGTTAACTGACTTACAGGCTCATGGAGAAGGAAGTGAATAGTTGAAATAAAGTCGTTATTTTTGTTGTTTTTTTGCGCACAAAAGTGTTCTCGTCGTTTGATAAACTTAAGATTGAGCCACTGTGGTCACTTGGACTATTTTAACGATGTCTTTAATGACTTTTCGGGGACAGCATGAGCCAGTACCTCAAGAAGCCTATGGACTGTATGCAGGAGCGATCTTAATATCTTAAATATCTTAATTTGTGTTCCGAAGATGAACGAAGGTCTTACGGGGTTGGAACAACATGAGGGTGAGTAAATACTGACAGAATTTTTGTCATTTTTGGGTGAACTAACCCTTTAATTGTGTGTGAAACCGTGGTATAATATTTATATTTGATATTATATCAGTTTTTATTTAATTTACAGAAGTGTGAACAGATATCTCATATGAAGAACAAAAGTTTTAATACAGTTTGTATGGTTAATTATTCAGGCTAAATCAATTGCAGAAGTTTAAAATTAGAGAAAAAGGTTTAAACTGAGCAAATTCTTAAGCGCAAATGGATACTTTGACAATTTTCAAGCTGGTTTCCGATCACATCACAGCACTGAGACAGCGCCCAAATAGATAATAAACAAAATTCGCTTAAATTCTGACAGGCAAATTATAATTGCTAGTACTACTCGACCTCAGGGCTGCATTTGACACTGTCGATCACAACATCTTGACAGGCTGGAAAACTAAGTGGGGCTTTTTGGGATAGTCCTAAAATGGTTCAGGTCATACTTAGGAGGGAGAGGTTATTATGTGAGTATAGGAGACCATAAGTCTGAGTGGACACCTATGACATGCGGAGACCCACAAGGCTCAATTCTTGCGCCACTCCTATTCAACGTGTCCATGCTCCCAATGAGCCAAATGATGAGAAAGAACCGAATCTCTTACCACAGCTATGCACACAACACACAGATCTACTTAGCCCTATCGCCTAACAACTAGCCCTACTGGCTCCCTGTGCCAATGCATTGATGAAGTAAACAGTTGGATGTGCCAAAACTGTCTTCAGTTAAACAAAGACAAAACTGACGTCATTGCATTTGGAAACAAAGATCAAGTTCTCAAGGTGAGTGCATACCTTCACTCTAGGGGTCACACAACTAAAAATCAAGTCAGGAGTCTTTGTGTGTCTCTACCAAGCAATAATTCAATGCAAGAATTAGATGTTTTGTTTCCAGTCAAGACTTAGAGAAACTTGCATGCTTTTTTGCAGGCTCCTCACTGCCCTTCCCAAAAAGACCATAAGACAGTTGCAGCTTATAGAGTGAACACATCACACCAGTCCTCAGGTCTTTACACTGGCTGCCAGTTACATATAGGATTGATTTTAAAGTATTATCACTGATATATAAATCAATAAATTGCCTAGGACCTCAATATATCGCAGGTATGCTCATTGAATATAAACCCAACAGATCACTCAGGTCATTAGGATCACATAAGTTAGAAATACGAAGGGTTCACTCTAAGCAAGGAAAGTCTGCTTTTAGCTATGCCAGTCACAGCTAGAACCAGCTTCCAGAAGAGATCAGATGCGCTCCTACAGAAGTCACATTCAAATCCAGAATCAAAACAAATCTATTTAGCTGTGCATTTACTGAATGAGCACTGTACCACTTGTACTGTAGTTTATTTTATTGTTATTCTAAACTGTTTTAATTATTCTGATTTCTTTTAAATATTGTAATTTATGTAAAGCACTTTAAATTACAATTGTGTATGAAATGTGCTGTATAAATAAACAGCACTGTCTTGCAACCACTATAATGGATGTAGAAATGAACCGCCACACTTTGGTGTTAACATGAAAACAACCAAATTCGACATGAATCTATACACAACAAAAAACTTGACTTAAGACGTAAAGTTGAAACAACAACTCAATATTTTCAATAAAAGGTCAAACCAGTTAATTCTGAGTCCATTTGTAATGACGACGTATATCTTCAATCTCTACTTGATGTCTCAACTGACCAATCCCAGAAGAGATCTGATCAAAAGATGGTGAAAATAATCACCAATCCTACCGGTCACGGATTGACCAAATCCAACCTCTTGTCAAGCAATGTTTGTTCATGCTCTCCACAGCAAAACCCAATGACTGATGTTGCTTCTTCCATCTGGAGAAAAGATCAGTCACTATGTCGCACAATCCAGGCTCACAGCTGACGCTATTGGCCAGGAACAAGAGAAGTCTGCAAACCCCAAGGACGGCAGATCCTTAACTCAGCACCATCTGTTATGGAGACTAATACAGACATCAGGAGAGAAACCCTGCTCTACTGTCAAGCAACACAAATCAGCCATTTCCACACAGGAAGCCTGTCAACAAAGCCGCCAGATGAGGCATTATTTCTCCAAGCTTCAAAGCAATCCTGCTATCAGAATGAATATACTGATGTCAAACTACTATAATTCCCTTTGTTAGAAATTTACCTCTAAATTGTGCTTTTGTGCAAGCGACTCTGTTGAGCAAATACGAGTAGATGATTGAATCCCCTTTTTAATTAAATACGGTTGAGTGGAGATGATTGACAGCTGATGTATCTTGTCTAAGACTGCAGGTTGTCACCTGGGTTTTGCTTGGGGTGAAGCTGGTGTGCCGCCTGGATGGCTATTGAACTGTGGCGGTGCTTTTATGGATGATAATAATGGCGGTACTGAGTCCCACCATATAAAGGCGCTTGGCTTGTTTTGTCCCCCAGGGTCCTTGAAGGGGACATAGAGTGGTAGGTGAACAAAGAGAAAGATAGGAGATATTTGTGGAAGCTTTCACTCCATTGAAAATGTCTGACCCTTCTGTCCTTCAAAAAGAACATTTCAAAAGGTGTGATGCAGGGAAGGGGTCAATAAATGAAAAAAAAAAATGAAAAAAAAAACAACAACCTTGTTTAAAATATTAGTTTATCATCCCCGAGAAACTGAAATCAAATGTGCATGTGGTACTTCAATTACAAAGACAATGATCAGCCACAACATGAACACACTGATAATGTTTCTTGAGCACCAAATCAGCATATTGGAATGATTTCTGAAGGATCATGTGACACTGAAGACTGGAGTAATGATGCCAAAAATTCAGCTTTGCCATCACGAATATACTAAAATACAACAGCTATTTTAACTCTTTCCCTGCAATTGACAGGGACTCATTTGTGAGATAATGCTTCCTCGCCATTCAATTTCCGGAACGGCTATTTACAACGTTCTTTGTCTTTATACAGATATGCTCTCAGATAGGACACTCATTTTCTGAATGAGTACTGAATACCCTGATCAAAACACCTCCGAAAAAAAAGTGATATCATATCTATATGCATATATAAAATAATGTGATCAACAGCATATTAATCAAAACTGTAATGTTACTGAATTAAATGTCGACCCAGGAAGAGCTATGAGTATAAATCTTTGGGAGTGTTTATGTACTCATATAACCCCATCTAAGTTTTGATTCCCATCCAAACATAGTCTTTGATAAAAACTCATTTTTTTCACAGTATATGATATATATTCACAGTATATATATATATATATATATACATATATACACACATACAGTACATACACACACACACACACACACACACACACACACACATACTGTATATATATATATATATATATATATGAAGAGTTCAGATGCAAAAGCCTCTAAATGCCATTTGAAATTTTCTTCTAAAATGACCATTTTTATCAAGCTTGTATATTTAAGTTCAGTAATTTCACTTAAATGACAATTAATAGGTAATCTTCATTGCCATTTAAGTGAAATTACTGAACTTAAATATACAAGCTTGATAAAAATGATCATTTTAGAAGAAAATTTCAAATGGCACTTAGAGGCTTTTGCATCTGAACTCTTCAAATATATATATACAAACCCAATTCCATAAAAGTTGGGACACTGTACAAATTGTGAATAAAAACAGAATGCAATGATGTGGAAGTTTCAAATTTCAATATTATATTTAGAATACAACATAGATGACATATCAAATGTTTAAACTGAGAAAATGCATAATTTTAAGGGAAAAATAAGTTGATTTTAAATTTCATGGCATCAACACATCTCAAAAAAGTTGGGACAAGGCCATTTTTACCACTGTGTGGCATCCCCTCTTCTTTTAATAACAGTCTGCAAACGTCTGGGGACTGAGGAGACAAGTTGCTCAAGTTTAGGAATAGGAATGTTGTCCCATTCTTGTCTAATAAAGGCTTCTAGCTGCTCAACTGTCTTAGGTCTTCTTTGTTGCATCTTCCTCTTTATTATGCGCCAAATGTTTTCTATGGGTGAAAGATCTGGACAGCAGGCTGGCCATTTCAGTAACCGGATCCTTCTTCTACGCAGCCATGATGTTGTAATTGATGCAGTATGTGGTTTGGCATTGTCTTGTTGGAAAATACAAGGTCTTCCCTGAAAGAGACGATGTCTGGATGGGAGCATATGTTGTTCTAGAACTTGGATATACCTTTCAGCATTGATGGTGCCTTTCCAGATGTGTAAGCTGCCCATGCCACACGCACTCATGCAACCCCATACCATCAGAGATGCAGGCTTCTGAACTGAGCGCTAATAACAACTTGGGTTGTCCTTGTCTTCTTTAGTCCGGATGACATGGCGTCCCAGTTTTCCAAAAAGAACTTCAAATTTTGATTCGTCTGACCACAGAACAGTTTTCCACTTTGCTAGAGTCCACTTTAAATGAGCCTTGGCCCAGAGAAAACGCCTGCGCTTCTGGTTCCCGTTTAGATATGGCTTCTTTTTTGACCTATAGAGCTTTAGCGGCAACGGTGAATGGCACGGTGGATTGTGTTCACTGACAATGTTTCTGGAAGTATTCTTGAGCCCATGTTGCGATTTCCATTACAGTAGCATTCCTGTGTGTGATGCAGTGCCGTCTAAGGGCCGAAGATCACGGGCATTCAGTATGGTTTTCCGGCCTTGACCCTTATGCACAGAGATTGTTCCAGATTCTCTGAATCTTTGATGATATTATGCACTGTTGATGATGATAACTTCAAACTCTTTGCAATTTTTCTCTGAGAAACTCCTTTCTGATATTGCTCCACTATTTTTTGCCTCAGCATTGGGGGAATTGGTGATCCTCTGCCCATCTTGACTTCTGAGAGACACTGCCACTCTGAGAGGCTCTTTTTATACCCAATCATGTTGCCAATTGACCTAATAAGTTGCATATTGGTCCTCCAGCTGTTCCTTATATGTACATTTAACTTTTCTGGCCTCTTATTGCTACCTGTCCCAACTTTTTGGGAATTTGTAGCTCTCATGAAGTCCAAAAGGAGCCAATATTTGGCATGGCAATTCAAAATGTCTCAGTTTAAACATTTGATATGTCATCTATGTTGTATTCTAAATATAACATTGAAATTTGAAACTTCCACATCATTGCATTCTGTTTTTATTCACAATTTGTACAGTGTCCCAACTTTTATGGAATTGGGTTTGTATATACAA